TTCGTCTGCCTGCGATCCCGATCCTGAATGCAGATCCGGAATCCAGTTCCCGTCCGTCACTGAGTCCAGCCTGGGACTGCCCCAGTGCCAGCCGGTGTCGTGATTGTCATCTCGGGAGCTTGATACGGTTTTGTATATATTTCTTTTTTTTTTTATGTTATTTTATTTTATTATTAATATTTCATTAAAGTAGTTTAGTTCCTTCTAAACTCGTAAGTCTCTTTTTCCTCCTCTGCCTCTCTCTCTGAAGAGGGGTAGAGGAGAGCATCTGTCGGTCCCATCTGGGGTCCTTCAGGTCCCCAGTAGCCGATTTGGCCTAAACCACGACAGGGTCATACAGAAGAAAATACTTGCCTTGTGGCATTATTCACATTAAGACTCACTTTTCAACCTTCAGCTCAACATGGACCGAAAACTGGTGTGTTCCTGCGCATGTAAAAATGATCCCATAACCACGAGATTTGAGGGAAAGCACCAAATGCTGCAAACACTGTCAGAGCCATCAGAGCTGCCAGTGCTACCCTACTAATCCCTGTTTCGCTTTGCAAAATTGTGAAGGGCCCTTAATTGGTGGCAAGCAAACGGTTTCACTGCTGGTCTGCTCAAGTAATTCCTGGCTAACAGGAAGACGCCTCCATTCCCCAAAGCCCCACATAGCTTTTCACTGATTTGTTCTGCCGAACTTCCTTATGATTGCCTTTAAAAAAAGAAATGATTAGGAAGAGGCAACTCCTGGAATCTGAAAAACTGCAAATTTGGCAAACAATTCCTGTAAGGTCACAGCAAGACTCAGGCTGACAAACCTTGCTGTATTATAAGTCACATCTTTTTTTTTCCCCTCGAAGGATAAATAAACTCAAAACATCCTGTTGGGGGAATGGTATGTGACCGACTTCCAGCGCTTCAACCGACAGTATGGGCATGAGATGTCGACGCATCTTTACTCAGTACATAACACATGTAACGCGCAACCTTAATTTAGAGGCGTCCTACCTTTTGGATGCTCTATTCCGCCACCACAGCGCTCCTCGCAGGCGGCCTTCTCGCAGCAGGTACGTCCCCAGGGAGCAGGCGAGGGACGGGGCTGAGCCCCACACACCCCGCTGCCGGAGCCCAGGCTGGGCGCGGGAGGTCGGGCGCGTTTGGTACTCACGCAGCTGATGGTGTTGGTGACAGTGAGGGAGAGGAGAGGCAGCACGGGGTCGGCCAGCCAGAGCCTGTCCTGCCGGGTACCTGCCGTCCTGCCTGGGCAAACCGCTGCAGGCAGCGGCTCACGTCCCCGCACGCTGGCACCCCAGACCCCCCCAGACCCCAACCCCTGCTGCCAACCAAGCCAACAGCAACAAGTTTCACCATCTCTCCCAGTACCCGCCCTGGCACTCATCCCTGTCAAGCCCTTAGCAATCCTTCCGCTGATGACCAGGAGAAAGCAGCCAAAGCAAAAAAACTTCACCGTCTGCTCCCAAGGGACTGGGGGTTTCTACGGGTGAGTGGGAACTGGAAGCGTTCGGAGCCTGTGGGAGGACCGGAGGGGTGGGAAGGGAGGTCTCCCTTAATTGCGAAGGTCGCCGCGTACGGCGAGGCCACAAACCGCTGCGGCGGGAGCGGCGCTCCTCCCGGCCCATCCGCGGGGACAGGCAGGGGCGCGCCGGGGAGCGCCGGGGGGAAAATTGGCTTCGGCTTGCAAGGACCGCAATGGCTCTTGAAGATCTGAGCAGATCTTCACATGCACGGGGAGGGGAGGTTCTGTGGGAAAATGCTATCGGGGCCGGCAGAGCCGCGGCAGGAAGGAAATTCCCCCAGCAGAGACGGCCATCGCGCGAGGGCTCAGCTGTGTCAAGTTCAGGGGACTTCATAAATAACTCGGCCCTCCCCAGGGAGTCATTGCTAAGGTCGCTATTTTTTCCCTTGAACTTTCCAGATGAAGGAAGCAATAGCAGAAGCAATGGCACAGATTTGGCCGGAGACCAACTGTACTGACAACGGTCATAGAATTTAACTCAGAAGAAAAGTCCTTTGTGTTTGCTGGAGTTATCTAAAAAATCAAGCAGCAGTGCAGAGTTCTGCTCGAAAAATATTCCGCATGTGCAAAATAATCACAGCTGAAACTCACCGGCAGACATAACCCCCAGTAAGTAATCCCACTGCTTAGACAGAGTTAAAAATGCAGGGCACGTGCTAGGCACCCATTAAAAATTGAAACGTTAAATTGTATTCTTCAACAAACTGCTGGGATTCCGGGTAAGAAACAGCCCTGATTAAAGATTAAGGACGGAGAGCCTATAAAACACTAATTACCACTGTACTTACAGTGAATTTGGCCTGTTGGGTTTAATTACTTCTAGTTCGAGATCACTTGAGTTCAGGCCGGGCTGGGGAGCGCTGTTGGAGTTGAGGAAGCTGTTTGCGTTTGAAGAGATGACGGATTCCAGGCTGGAGTTGATGATACTGTTCCTGTTCTCCTCTAAAAAGACATCAAAACCAAAGACTCATCAGCCATCGCACACAGCTGCCATCGCACACAGAGCAAAGAGCACAGTGCTGCAAAGGCTCCGGGCGTCCCGAGCAGCAACCCCTGCCCTGACGCCAACGGGGCGGCAGCCCAGCACACCCCAGGAGACAGGCACTCCGTTTACAGTCATCTTTTCTAGATATTATACATTAAACCATAAGAAATACCAAGTACTCTTTTTATTTTTCTTAAGGTGCAGCTACATTTTAAAGGAATACCGTTTTTAGTAAGCAAATATTCATTTTTCTCAAAGCATTAATATTTTATATTCCCAAAGACATCCGAAGTACCACCCAACCAGGAAAAAAAAATAATAAAATGCAAACAACACACAGGAACGGATTTCTCCATGACTGAAATCAGCTGCCACAGGACTGTGCATTTGTGTGACAGAGCGGGGGCAACATTTCAGAACAAGAAAAGGACAGATCACCCAGTTAAAGTTTATCTCAGCAAAAAAATGCTTCAGCCTAGGACTTGACATCTACAGCTATCGATCTTTCCCGGGCAGATCTACGAGGAGAAAGGGGACGGGGTTTCCGCTCCATTTCAGCTCTGCTCTTCAGAACTGCAGAAGGGCTCTGGGTCAGAAACTTGGCGTTATATCTGATCCGAAACCGCGCCTCCCGCCCGCTCCCGCCGGCACCGCTCTGCTGACAAGCGGGGGGTTCTTAGAGCCCCTCGTTTCCCAGGATCATACTCTGTTAAGAGATTCCCCCCTTACTTGTGTAACTTCAGCAGTGAGGAGTGAAAATATTATGCATCCCAAACCAACATCCGCAGCATGAGCTCCCTCCTCAGCTCTACACTGAATTACCTAAAATCGCATTAATTCCTTTTCCTAAGATGCCTTTTCCGTATGAGCAGTAATTGTAATTGTGAGAAGCAATTATCATCAGTGATGGCACAGAAAGCAGCCCTACTGCAGAGAACTGCTACTTGTGTGACGATGTTTTCCTGAAAGACAAGCACCTGCTGGAAAACACAATGAGTCCTAATTTAATGATAAATCCTTCAAAGAAATTCTTTTTCCAGCGCACACTAATATGATCAAATTGCTACCAAAAAGCACATAATAATAGGGAATCCCTTATTCTCCATCCGTTTAAATTGTACACCTCTGCCTGCGTTAGGAGAACGCGTAATACTCATCCATGTCTTGTACACATTTAAAGAAGGATAAAAGAGTACAAGAGGAACTCCTGGGATATATCAAAAGTTAATCCTGAACACACAGCAGAAAGAAGCCGCCTACACTTCTGTAAAATCGTTTGGCAGTCGTGTTGGCTCAGGCGCAGGGGAGCATGGCGTCGTGGCATCCCTTTGCCACCGCTGCCTGGAGAAAAGCCCCACTGGCCAAAGGCTTGCGGATGCCGGGGCAGAGCGGAGCCCAACGCCCCTCGGCGCACTCCCTCCCCGGCACCGCTGCCTTCTCCCGGCACCTGCGCAAAGCCCCAGCGCCCGCCCGGCAGCGCGGCAGGGCTAAACCTTGGCTTAACTCAGATGGAGCTTATCTTCCAAAGATTAGCCATGGCCAGGGATGTGTTAATTATGTCAATATGTGACAACAGGTGCCTGAAATTGCACTTCATTGATCTTCGTCTCCAATAAGCCACCAAGGGACCCAGCGGCACGTACGCTTCCCTGTCCCCTCCTTTGTTCCTCCAATGTCCCGAGACGGATTTCTTGCCCAGCCGCGGTTTCCAACTCACCACCGTCTGATGTGCCAAAAGGAAAACACAAACGATCTCAGCAGCTTTGAGCCATACGGTGGCTCAGACGACAAGCTGTGCTTTCCCTAAACCAACTCAGAGACGCTCCCGAAGAAGAGTGATTTCCCGGAGAGGCAGGTCCTCCGATACGAAGCTCTGAGCTCGCCAAAGCCCACCCGGGCCTCAGAAGGCGTCAGCACTTTGTGATGAAACGGTTCTCCAGGCAGAAGATAAAGGGAAGAGTGAGGAAAAGCAGAGCGCTGCCCCCACAACCACTGACGGGCAGACGCGGGAGCCAGCAGATGCAGTAAGAGAGAAATTAAGCTGCCAATGGACCTAAAAACCCCAAAAGGCCAATCCAAACTACTCCTCTATTTTC